GGCACATCTCAAAAATAGTTGCATGGGCTGCCCTGAAGACACTGGGTCAACCAGAGATGACTTGCTGACTTTGGTAATCCCCTGACCTTTTCTCTGGTGCCATAATCAGGTCAATTTTTCATGGTGCTGTACTTACAGACCACCGCATTTCACAAAAATTGGGTGGACTAAGATTCACTTGGACTCACTTGGTTAACAACAACAACAAAAAAAAATATTGAAAAGGTAGAGGTGACATCATAATGTTTTGAAATACACGCACACAATGTGGAGATTTAGTCTTATTTTGGAGGGCAATATCTTGGCCTCCAGTAACACTGTGAATAAACTTGGAGTTATTATTCACCAGGATATGCCCTTCAATGCACATATTAAATAAATTTGTAGACCTGTCTTCATTCATTTGCACAATATCACTAAAATGAGAAACATCCGGTTACAGAGTGACGCTGAAAAACTAGTTCATGCATTTAGTACTTCTAGGCTGGACTACTGTAATTTTAAAACCAGGCAGAAGGCTTTTTATTAAAAGTTAAAATAATTAATTGTTGTCTGAAAATAGTATTGACATGAAGGCTATATGCATTTCCAGGAGCTGGAGCCGGCAACTTTTTTTTCTCTTTGCCAAAGTCTTTAATCTTGACACACTGGCAGAGAGAAAAGACCATTGGTGAAAATATTAATTCTGGGGATCTGGAACATGGAAAGTAGAATATCTAAACAAATGTAACCAGCTAACCTCAAACACCGGTTATACTTTCCGGATGTTTTTCACCACTGGTTTGTACACACATACAGAAACATCCACTTCAAATTTGCCTACAGGATGATGCTGTGATACATTATATTGAGACATACGATTCTAATCTGATGTTACAGTTTTAGCAAATTTACAGCAAATGAAATGAAGCACAAATTCCAAGTTTTTTATTTTATTTTATGGAATGGTTTTTTTTTTTTGTCGGTTGGCGACAGTGGGAAGGAAAAACTCCCTTTAAAAAGAGAGAAACCTCTGGCAGAACCCTGCTCCAGGACGGGGTGGCGATCTGCAGCGGCCAGTTGGTGATTAGGGAAGGAAGATGGTTTTAAAATTAAATTTAGATACCCAATTTAAATAAATATTTTAAGCCAGTTTAAGAGTTTTGTCACATAATCGCATGCACGTCTCAGTTCAATTTTAGCGTGCACATGAGAAAGCCCTAAAGATGACATCTTGGCTCTTTAGTCTGGCGTGTTTTTTGAAGGTTTTGACGATTACTTCGTCAACCACTGAGTTGTTTGACCTCATTAAGAGTACTGGAGAAGACCACCTTTTATGGAGTTCCTTGTACACTGTTAGGCTGAGTTGTTCAATGTTCTCATTCAGTTCTTCATTTTGTAATTTCGAACAAAATTTTTTTCCAGATCTTATGGGAAAGCCTCTCTATAATAAACTCAGATGTTCCTGGATGCCATGTCGCTGTCTCGTTTACTTCACCCATAGCGTGCATTAACAGATCCTTAGTGAAATTTCTCACAACAACAACTACCTTGTACTCTTTCCTGTTTTCAGAGCTGAGTACTCTCTTTGGTAATGCCAGTTTGTGGTAAAGGTTGGGACAGTAATATTATCAATTCAATTCAATTCAATTCAATTCAATTCAATTCAATTTTATTTATATAGCGCCAAATCACAACAAAAGTCACCTCAGTTTAACTAATTGGTGTGTGTTATCTGGCTTCATGGACAGATAGAGCTGGGTGTCATCTGCATAGCAGTGAAAATGTATGCTATGTCTTCTAATGATGCTGCCTAGGGGAAGCTGTTCCCTCAGATTAAAAATCAAATGTTTTTCTTTGCAGTCATGTGTTTTGCAAAGATCCTTGAGAATGGTCTTGTGTAGATTTATCAGCCATTTTGATGATAGATCCAAATGTTTCTGCTCAATTTAAGACCAGAGTTTCTCAATCAGCCGATCGCTGATGCAGTCAGGCGCTCTGTGAAGAGCTTGTATTTAGAGGAGACTTTTTCTATGGCCAACTGAATAACTGTTGATACACAACTTTTCCCTCACTTCCAGTGTTTTCTCCACTGTTGATATTTCAGCCTTTGTCTCCAGTATTTGGTTGATCTGAACTGAAGAAGCTTCTCGGATGAGAGTTGAAACGTCTTCAAGCAACTTAAAGAAGTCCAGACGCTTTTCTTTCCAAGCTCCTTAGACTACAATGACCTGGATGACTGAGAACCCTCACAGACATATTTGGTTGATCGCATCTTTAAATACATTCTGCACTTCTTCTAACACTTGTTTTGACTGATGAATTTCTTTCTTTGCATCTTCAACATATTTTTTCTTGACTGACAGTGATGTCTGCACTTCATTCAGTCCTTTTTTTGCCTCTTCACCGTTTCTTTGCAAGTCCAATACATTTTGTTTCTTCTTCAAGCACCTTTTTCACTTGGTCATCCTGGTGGTGTTTTGAGACCGCTCTTCTCTGCACTCTGATACACCTCGAGGAATTCTGATGAGGAGGAATCTGGGGTTGCCGTGTCTTCTGTCTCTGTCTTAGCCTCCGCTAATTCTTTTCTCTGCTCGTCCAGTTTGTTCTGCATTTCTTTTGTCATTCACCACTTTCTGCTCTTCCAGGACGTTCTTATTTTCTTCCTCCAGGACTTTTTTGTC